TGCAGAACTGTATCATTATGTCACTTCAGGCTGCTTTTTTTTGGTAACCCAGACTGAAAGAATACCAGACACCACAAGTCCACAGAGAGGGATAATTCACACTGCAAAACAAAACACTGTCAGGGGAAACAACATTCACCAGCTTCATTGTGTTGTAGAATAAAAAAAAAAAGACAGAGTTGACAATGTGTCTGAATTCAGATACGACAAAGACGTATCTGAATTCAGTTTGTAGTCGTCTGTGATTCGACAACATTGGTGTGTGTGTTTTCAGTTTTGTTTGTGTACTGTCAAGGTATTCACAAGTGGCAGGTTGTAATCAGTGAGTCAAAGACACAGCAGTAGCTGAAGATCTGAGAAAAACACATGCTGCACCTATTGTGTTGATAGACAAGGAGAAACATCCTAACAAAATTCGACAAAAAATGAAACCTTTTTAGGTAAACCCTTCTGAAGGTGTCGGTTCCAGTATTCCTTTATAGTGATATTCTGGAGGATCTCTTTTACACCAGATCTCAACCGTCTTTGTTTCGTTCTGTCAGTTTTGAGAAAAGGAAATATTTGGATTGTTTTCACTTTTAAGGGTTTAAAACATGAGTCGACCATAGACAGAATTGATATCAATACCAGGTGTACAGTTTTACTGTAAGGTAGTAACAGCAGGATATAGGGGGTTTCTTAGTCTACAGTATCATAGTTGATGAGTCCAACTTCAATACCAATATCGTATTGATAGCTCACATTAGCGTTCCTGCTAATGTACACCATATATTGATTTGCTGCTGTTCTTAGGCTGGTGGAAGATTGCAGTTTGGCTCTTAATGTGTCTTTGCGCCGTAAACACTGATGCAGCTAAATGCATGTAGTAAATATGATTTACTGTGACAACTTGGTTTGCTGTGTAAAACAACTTTACTGGTAACAGTAAAACACCACACAGCTATCAGCCTTGTGATGTAGGGCAAGATGATAAAAGCACAGAAATGAGTACATGTTAAGGTTTAGTAATGGTTTAAGAAAAAAAAGAAAAACAAACAGCATCATCTGTAGCATTAAAACCTATAGGCTGTAGATAACCAATGGACACTCTTCTTCTATATACTGTATGTATATGTGTGTACAGTATATATATAAAGTCTACGAGTTAAGGAATCATTTCTGACCTTCTTTACAGTGCAGCAGAGATTCCAGGCCCATTCATAATACCACCCTGAGTGATGATGCTTGAGTAACTTGGGACACACTCATACCACTGAAATAAATGGATGGCACCAACAATAACCTTCCCCAAGGCCACTTGCAAATGTCTCCTATCAGAAAATAAGGCCGCCTCGGAACTCCACACAAGCTGACATATCCCATGACCTATTTTCATTAAAGCTGCCGGTTGGAAGTGCTAAATAGAGAATACAATGCACAGATGGGAGTGCACATAACGTGGTGATAGCCGTTTGACCAAAGACTGACCCTAAGCTTAATAATATCAATAATAATAGATGGATTTGAGATTTGTGGTCAGAGCAGATATCCAGTGGGATAGGAAGCTGAGTTATTTAGAGGACTTTTCTGCACAGAGGGTAAAGCTAGTCATCTCCTCTGAGATGGTGAAGAGGTCAGAGATCGTTGCTCCACCTTCCAGCCAGCAATCAAAGCTCTGATTGGGTCTCGCACCTCATTCGTTCCACCACTTTTTTCATCTCATTTTTACAACCAGTGACTTCTTATTAATTTTTCGTCGTAGGAGGTTGTCGACGAAGACCCTAAGGGCTTACTTTTAAGAAGTGAACAACTGTTTATCAGCCCTACAGCTGGCTGTGAGCACTCTGCTGGGTGTGCCTGAACAAACAAACAAACAAACAAACAAACAAACCAACCAACAAAGCGTACAGAGAAGTCAATGCAGCTTGTGTTGTGGAAAAGTCCAAAATGGGTCTTGGGTGAATTTCCACTCCAGAGAAATCTCTGTGCTGGTTACACAGACGTCTGCTTTAAGGATTTATACACACAGCACTAACTTAGCTCGATATCCTCCCCCTCAGCCGGGCTTGTGACATTTGCTTTTAAAGAGAGGGAATAAACAGCGAGGACAGTCGGAGTGGGGGGTGTTCTTCCTTTCCCCTCTACTCTCATTAGAATTCATCCATCAGTCTTTCCCACGGAGCAGTGGGCCTGACACACCAGGGTTTATTAATCGCTCCAGGAAATATTATTGACCTGGACCTTCTGCAGCCTCCCTCCCTCTACACGCTGCAGCAGTCGGTGTCTCCGAGCTCAGCTGCCACCCACATTCCTCCAGTGTCCTGTCTGGACACATTACAGGACACTGCGGCACAACACACAGTGTCTTCATTGACTCTGCACTTGGCCTGGGCTTTCTTTTTACTGCAGCTGCAAATCAGCACACACACACACACTCACACACTAGACACACCTGCAACCTTGGTGAAGCAGGGCGAATTCTGCTGCGCTTCAGCGTAGGATGCGAGAGGCTGCTCTGATGAAACTAAATCAACACATCCTTGGAGGCAAATAAAGATAATCAATAAAATACGTACGCTGCTCTGTATTTTTCTAAGTGATGTTTAAATTGAAGACATCTGTCTGTCTGTCTCGCCTTAGACCTGTGGGATTAACCCTTGGCTACAGTTCACTCCATGAATTTTCTGAGGAACATTAGTCATGGCTGTGTGCAGACCAGTCACTAATGTTCTCTCTGACCTTTTGGACATAGTTGCTCGCCAGTTCTGAAGTATGATTTCACTGCTGACTTCATTCTGTCCTCTCAACATTTTCACTTCAAGTTACACTTAAGAATCTATATAGCACAGCACGGCAGTATTTGTGTTTTATTATGGAGGTGGTGGTCTTTGAGTTAGACGTCAAAGTACATAGGCAGTCTCTCTTTGGTCAAGGAGTTAACCCTAATAATCTACCTTTAGTATGTCAGTGTTTTTAGGGTGGCACTACAGTTCTTCGTTTTTGTCTGATGGTGGTGCATTTCAGGGATTGGTTGAATGTCTCACTGCCTCCAGTGTCCACTCTTCGCTCAGTATAACCTGTGACATCCAGTTCCACCTCAGCTTTGACGCTCCTCTCTGGATCAGAGTCAGCTGACATCAGGCGTGCACATGTTGCATGTGTGCGTGTTAATGTGTTTGACAGTTTCTAACACATAACACACACTAAGAACCTTGTGTATCCATGTCTGATTTGCGCGGAGAAAAAAAGGTTTTATTTATTTTAACCTTAAAATCAAACCCACCCTGTACTTGGTGAAAAGCAAGTCTTGTATTATGCTGAAATAATTTTGTCAATGGGTTTTGACGAGAGGCCTGTCTTTTGACTTGGACTATTGTGCCGCCAAGTGGACATTTTCAGGCATTACACCGTCGGTTTTTATGACGGGAGTAATGAATGACCAGGATGTGAGTTTGCTGTTCCATTGTGTCCCCGTGACCTTTGCACCGACGAGCACATTCCTGGAAGCAGCAGTCATGAATAAAGTTACATGCCTAATATCTGTCAATTGTGTTTGTTTTGCCTGAAAGGCGACATTGTCCGACGTCCATGTCCTCAGGAAAACTTGATTTTGCAGAAATGCCTGAAACTAAGCCTAATATCTGTCTGCATGTTGTTTTCCTGCAGTCACAATGGTCCCACTTCTGTTCCTGGTGGCAACCACAACAACATCCAATTCCACCAGTAATGGCAACAACACAAAGGGTAAGAGCACAGTGATGCACCTCGACATGTGAGGCTGAGTAACGTGAAACAATTTGCAACAACAGCAACAGAAACCCATTGCTACCCAGCTGCAGTCATCACTTTTTCCCCCGACATGTAATGATTATTATGTATATCCTGCTGCACATGCGTCTGCTTGATAATAGCCTTTAGTGCTGCCTTGTTATTATAGGATCACAATGAACTTGTGCAGCACCGGACAGTAATTTAGGCTCTACTGTGAGAGTCTGGATAAATGCAGCTAATAGCTGACTATGTGGCTCATTGTAAGAGCGTCTTATTTTCTGTCAGATGTGACAAAACGGGATGATGCTCATCTCTGTAGACAAAATGCTGCTGCATTCACTTGTCTGTGCCTTGGCTGGTAGAGGAAAAAAGTGCAGTGCTGAGCCAAGTATTGATTTTAGCTTCATCACAATATACCGTTGTCCCAACATTATACTGTAAATGTAACTGTGTGTTTGTACGCTCTGCAAATCTCTGCCCTCCTTCACCTTCCTGCTTCCCTCTGTGTCGACACTGCTGCCTGACCCTGGACTCTCCTGCCTCTCCTCCCTCAGAAGACGTTACGTCCTCCAACCAACACATTCTCCCCACAGTGCTGGTCGTGTCCCTGCTGCTTCTCATCATTGGACTGCTAGCCTGGTACTGCCTCAGGTAAAAAGAAAAAACAAACAAACCAACATTCATAGACTGACCTGACTCATTCTGTAATCAGCTGGCCACGAGCCAACCTGGGAGGCAGAGCTCAGGGTGACAAACACTTCCTCCTTTAGTCTCTGAGGCGGAGCCCAGTAAGGAAGTAGGTCTTGACTCCCTGTCATGCTCAGTGAGAGGAGACCAGGCGGTGACAGTGGACGTAGTTAGAGTGGTAGAGCAGAGCAAACTCAGGAGGACGTTTGGACTGAAGTTCTGTTTTCTTGAATTCCTCGTCTAATGAGAAAAGGCAGCTTTCAAGGCTTTAAATGGTAGGCTGGAGAGATTGTGGCACCTAACAGGAACATGTGCTAAGGTGTTTATTTGATTTTTTTTTTTTTTTTGGATACTATTTAACCTTATAATCCTATGTTTTGTTGTTCTACTTTTTCCCTGTGCCAGGTTAAAGAACCAGAAAAAGCCAGTGGTCACAGCAGTTGACAAGAAGGTACCAAATGGCATCCTGGAGGAACAAGGTAACATCTTGAGCACTGTGGATTTTAAAAGTGACAGGTTGACAGCCTTAACATGCCACTGTCTATATGTGTGTATATATATAATATATATATATATACACATATACACATAGATATAATGGTCCATCGAAAATAATCAACAGCTTCATATTCATAAGTTTGTGTGCAGAGTAACTTAACACTTCCTGTGGTTTATGCACTCTGTGATGTGTGTTATCATCCACCATCTTGTATACTTTTTCACACTGTATCTGACATAGTACTGGTCCGTCTGTAGCAACTAAACATCTTAGTTACAGTTAGTTACATGATTCTATCAAAACATGTTTTGTAACCGGCTAATGATTTTAGGAAGTGTTTTTTTCTTATCTAATGTTGGCGGGGAATGCACATGGTAGGTTTGTTATCCTACAGGCAGGAAACATAAAGTTTGATTATTCCTCATTCAAACTAGATGTGAACGTTAACAGCAGGAAAATTTACAACTGTAAGATTGTAATGTTAGTCCTTCAGACGCTGGTAAGTGACTAACATCTCAGTCTGTCGGAGAACACACTTCATCACATCGTGATCACTTGGTAAATGTTTTTGTATGTGTTGTGTTTTTAGAGTTGGGATACAGTACTGAGTCCTTATACATCACTGTGCCCCCAGGTCAGGTATACAGGGTGGTGGTATCAGGAACTGAACCCATGTTACTAACCCTTGTCTTTATTATTGATCACTAACTCTGAGTCGGATGCCTAACAGGTTCTTTGGTTCTTCAACTCCTGGTGGTGTTGTGTGATCACTGCCTCTTTAAAATCACATGTTTTTATCCTCAGTAAAGTCACCATTTTCATTGTTAGCTTATTTCTTTTTTGTTTCTTTAATTCCTAACAACTTCAAAGGATTTCAATACTGTGATTCTTTAACCAAATGGCTTTCTGTCTGTGGTAGAAAATGTAACTGTTTAGTTACCGACAAATATACTGTACGTCCAGGTGCATGATAGAGCAGGTAACAAAGAGCAGTTAAATACGAAGAAGGCAGCAGGGCCGGTGTTTTTGTTCATGTTTTAGTACTCTCTGTTTGGCTGCTGTGTTTCATGACTATTTTACTAACATGTTAGAAGAAGGTACATGAAGTCCATTTCCTTGGTAAAGTCAATGTATATTACATATTAGTTAGCTGTAAATATGTAGGAACAAAGTAGTTATTATTTGCAGTTTTTGTTTTATAGGCTCCTCAACAGTTGGCAGAATGTGACAGAATATTTGCTTTTTACATTATCTGAAGAAAACAAGGATGAAAACCAGAAAAATAAGTTAGGGATCAGTCTTATAATCAAGTCCAGTATAATCGCTGTCCTTGAATCCTGTCTTAAATGTCCTTGACTTAGATTTATCAGTACAACTTTATAACTCCAAGACTGTTATTTCCTTTAACAATCATAAACAATCATAAATAATTAACCATGAGGTGGCTGATAAACCCACTAACTCTTCTCTCCACAGAGCAACAAACTGTGGTCCTTCTACCCAGAACCCCTTCCGCCAACAAAACCTTTTTCCCCATCCCTGTGGAACACCTGGAAGATGAGTACAGGCTCCGCTCCGCCGATGACGGCAAACTCTTCAGGGAGGAGTACAATGTAAGCCACCAAGCTGGGTGTTGTTTATTTACGTTTATTTGAGAAACACTTTACAATCAGATATTTGACAAAAATGATATAATCAGGTATTTTATTGTCCACGTTTTAAAAAGATAACCCTTGATAAAAATGGAATATGTGGTAAAATGTCCTGTTTAGGTTCATGGCGTTTGACTCTTAGTATGACTTATGTATAATCACACTGACACATACTGCACACACATCAGCCAACCCACATGAAAAATACCCCTGTATCTATTTAGGATGATAGTTGGGGTCTGAGTCAAACAGAGAATGACTCAAAGCTAATGTCACGCAAAAAAGTATGATTTGATCAGACCTCACGTCACACAGAGGAAGTCACACTTAATGAGCAACTGTTTGCTGTCGGTAGCTGAGGAAGTGTCACCATGAGGCAGACATGTTGCTCCGCACAATACGCCGGTTGACAGCAGTTGAAAGTGACGTTAAAAACAAACAATGTTTTGCAGTCTTTGCCCGGAGGTAATCCGTACGGAACGTACGAGGAGGCCAATAAAGACAGCAACAAGGAGAAGAACCGATACCCCAACATCCTTCCCTGTGAGTGCACCGTCAGCAGCTAGAAGCAACTAGAGCTGAAGAAAAGTCAGCATCAATGATATCAGCAGCACAATTTCTTTTTATAGCTGGTTTAGCATTGAATCTGATTACAGAATCAAATGTATACGTTTTTACTTATTTTAGACTTCCTATTAAAAACAAACTTTACATGTAAAATACAAATATAGTTTTATAGTATCTGATTTTTTTTCTTTTCCTGTTTATAAAAAAGTTGTAGATATTTCATGAAACATTCTCTTTTTTCTGCAGATGATCATTCCAGAGTGGTGTTGACTCAGCTGGACAGAAACCCCTGTTCAGACTATGTGAATGCCTCATACATCGATGTGAGTTGTTCCATCAGTCCCTGCTGTGGGATGTTCAGGAACTTACACTTGCTTTGTTACTGTTGAGTTCCAAAGGTGTTGTTTTTTATTTTGCAGGAACAGACTTTGCTTTTATTGTTAGCTAATGTGTTTTGTTTTTTTTTTGGTCCATCAGGGTTACACGGAAAAGAACAAATTCATTGCAGCGCAAGGTGAGAGATGATGCATTCGGAAAAAAGAAAAACAAATCCTTTACACAGAGTTATGTTTCATGTTCCATTAAAGGGGAATATTTCTGCTCCTCCAGGTCCTAAGGAAGACACCGTGGCAGACTTTTGGAGAATGATTTGGGAGCAGAAGGTGTCAACGGTTGTCATGCTGACAAATGTAAAAGAAAGAAAAGAAGTGAGTGGTCGTCGCAGTGTTAGAGGTTTTTGTGTACATTTAAAAAAGCTCCACAACAGAAAACAGTTTTCCTTCAAGGACCTTGAGAAGAAATATTTCTATAAGTAGACTTCACTGGTTATGGACAGATTTTAAAATTAATTCACACATGTCTTTTTACTAGTGTTTGTGCTGCTATTGTACAGTCTTTGCTGTGAACTTGAACTCTCTGAGTAAACAGGCTAAAAGAAATCAATGGAAAAGAAATTGGTAAAGATTTAAACCAGTGTGAGAACAGAGTGAAGTCAATACGGTGTAATGAAGGCTGCACCCATCACACTGATGTGTTGTCATTTCACCTATTTAACTTAATAAACTGTGAAATGAAAGCACATGTTATGCATGTAAATTACTTCATCACCTGATATTGAAGTCCTTGAGTAATACACCAAAAGAACTGTGTATCCACGGGTACTTGATTTATCAAATAAAGATTGTCCTCTGTCCTCAGGACAAGTGCTGCCAGTACTGGCCGGATCAAGGCTGTTGGACGTACGGGAATGTCAGGGTGGCAGTAGACGACTTCACAGTCCTGGTCGACTACACCATACGCAAGTTTTGTGTACAATATGTAAGTTCATAAACTCATGACATTTTTATGTTGACAAAACGTCTCTAAATTATAAACACAGTCTATAAAATACATTACATAAAATACATACACAAGAAATTTCAGTACGAGATGTTTGCTAAATATAAATACTGTATAATACTATAGTTCAAACTACTTTTTAAAATTATTTTATTAATAATTAATAACATTTTAAAAGAGCAAATAATTTTAACATCTATTGTCATGGGCAAAATGTGAAAACCTTTTGGACTGCAAGTGGCCCCCAGACTGGGAGTTGAGACCCCTGCTCTATCTCCAGAGACATTCTTTAATATCTTTGTATTTACACATAATTTAAAAAATACTTTAGATCTTCAGGATCTTGTCTCAGCTGTCGTAGTTGTGGTGATACCATGAAGCAGTTCTAAAAATGCTGCCCCAGGCTAGATTCTTCATGTCGTCAAAGATCAAATACCCGATGAGGTAACTCTGCCTCTGCCTGTTCCTGTGTGTTTGTGCAGCAAGCCACCGACGTGGCCAAGACTCCTCGGCTGGTGACCCAGCTCCACTTCACCAGCTGGCCTGATTTTGGAGTTCCGTTCTCCCCCATTGGAATGCTCAAGTTCCTTAAGAAGGTCAAAACGGTGAATCCAACTTTTGCTGGGCCTATTGTGGTTCACTGCAGGTAGGAGAGAGTTGGAGTTATTTTTGTTTCCCTGGACTTTTATAACATTCCTTCGTATCACAGTATGGATATCCTGTTAGACACACTTTCTATGAAGGGCTGCTTTTTAGCATAGATTAACTTGGGTCAGCATTATTTAATCTTTTTGAAATGGGGGGGCTTCTTTAAGAAAGGTAGATAGAAAGGTATTCTGTATGCTTTCTATGTTCAATGGTCACTGCGGCTGCAGGATTCACTTTATTTTCCAGTTGTCAGCTGGACTTGTTCTTCCTTTGAAGGCAAGGGAAAAAAATGTATTAAAAATAACTTTCCATACGAGGAGAACCTCATTATATAGAATTGAATATTCTCTTTGTGTGTCTGTAGATAAACAGAACTATCACTGGAAACACTTTCGGCACAACATGTCCAGTGCAGGGATGCCTCAGTTTTTCCGTCTTGCAGCACGTAGAGAACGTGGGATTGTCATTGGAGGATAGTTGTTCTTCATTCTGTTTGCTTTGTCTCCGCAGCGCTGGTGTTGGCAGAACAGGAACCTTCATTGTCATAGACGCCATGATCGACATGATGCACGTGGAGAAAAAGGTCGATGTGTTTGGGTTCGTTTCCAAAATACGGGAACAACGCTCACAGCTCATCCAGACAGATGTGAGTAGAGGACGGAACAAAGAGGCCTTCACTGCATCACATGATCCTAAGTGTGCTATTTAATAGTGAATTACGTCTCCTTTATTGACTTTAAATGACACTCCTTTGTCTTTGTGTGTGTGTGTGTGCCACTCTGCAGATGCAGTATTCGTTCATCTACCAGGCCCTGCTTGAATACTACCTCTATGGAGACACGGAGCTGGATGTGTCCTCGCTAGAAGGACATCTGCACAAACTACACAACACCTTCGCAAACGGTGACCGGGTCGGACTGGAGGAGGAGTTTAAGGTAAAATTGTTGTGTTAAATCATACATATACATATAATTAGAAATAGAAACATATACAGAAAAAATATAGTTATGTTTAAACCTATTTAAACAACTTTTAAGTCTGATTCAGTGATCAAGTGCTATAATACAAAAACATTACTACTGCTAACAATAATAATATGTTGTATATTTAATCTATTTATATGATATTATATGAATTTAATCAGTTAAATTGAATGTAGCATTTTAATAGCATTTAATAATACTACTACTACATCAATAACAATGACTAGTAACTCAAATTAAGAACAAATTGAAATAAATCTAGCTATGAATTTCAAGCTATTAGCAATGATTGAAGGTGTGGGTTTGTTACTGTACATTACCTCACCAGGACCAGAATAACCCTAGAGAAACACAGTGGGTTTGGCCTGAAGGTCATGTACAGTACAGTAGGAAATGGGAGTGCCGCTCCAAGTCTAGATCACGCAGGTCATCTCAATGTTCTTTCTTGTTTTAACCCACCATCATAATTAGCTGACATAGAAAAACATGTGAAATGTGCAGACGTTTCCAAAAGAAATGGAATAAAAACTAATATAAACTGACTGTACCAACACCTAAAAAGCTGGGACAGGGGTAGGTCTCATACATTCCCCAAAAAGACTGGTCAGGAGCTGGTCTTAGACCGGACTTCCTCATTACGTCTACCGCAGATTTATTTTCCGACTCACTAAAAGAACCAAATGCAGGATCGCAAATGTTTTACTGTATTTTACAAAAACATAAATGTATTTTAAGTGAACAGAACTTTCACATTGCAGCAGACCATGCTGGGCTACACTCATCCTGTCCTGTAGAGTCACAGTCTTTGCTGGATACTCTCTGATTCTGATTATATGCAGTGTTGATTGTTGATTCTACAACTTGTTTTCCTGCTGTGTGCAATTTTTCCACGCAGAAACTGACAAACATGCGCATAATGAAGGAGAACATGAGAACAGGGAACCTTCCTGCCAACATGAAGAAGAACAGAGTTCTGCAAATAATCCCGTGTAAGTTAGACGAAGGTTTTAGGTAACTGCTCCCTGGTGAACATGGTCTGCTGAGCCGACGTTGAATTCAGTGCTTTTCTCCATTTGCAGACGACTTCAACAGAGTTATTCTCTCCATGAGAAGAGGTCAAGAGTTCACGGATTACGTAAACGCCTCCTTCATAGATGTACGTATGTTTTTCTTTTCGACTTAAAGCCTTCTTTAGTGTTGCCATTGGCTAACGACCAATGACAACACTTACTCCTGTTGTGTTCCAGGGCTACAGACAGAAGGACTACTTTATTGCCACACAGGGCCCACTGCCTCACACGGTGGAAGACTTCTGGAGAATGGTGTGGGAATGGAAATGCCATTCCATTGTAATGCTCACAGAGCTCCAGGAGAGGGAGCAGGTGAGCTGTGATCAACTGAACAGGCGCGACAGATGGCCTCAGTGGCTCTGCTACAGCAAAGCAACAAAAGTGTCTTCAATGTCTATCAGTCATCGGCACAAGTTTTCACTGAGCCAGAGATACTTAGAAAAAAATGTTAATCTATCAGAAAACCAATCACTGAAAGTAAAACATCATTTCTATTTCATCAGGACAAGTGCTGCCAGTACTGGCCCACGGAGGACTCTGTCACCTATGGAGATTACACAGTGGAGCTGAAGGGAGACACTCTGTGTGACACCTTCAGTCTACGGGACTTGGTACTCACCTTTGTACCGGTAAGCACATCATCAGTGCTCCGTACCACAGCTGTTGTAGTGTGCTGTCATTTACAGCACGTTGTGTTTGTCTGTGCACAGTAAAAACGTCTCTCTGTCTCTCGTTAAATATCTTTTTACTTTATAACAAACCTAATTTACAAAGTGTTAAACTAATTTACAAAAGTGTCAAAGACAGATCACTGCACCTAACATCGCATGTTTTTTTCTTGGTAAAATGTAACTTTTTTAATACCAATAAAACATCAATAACTGACATTCAATAACATTCAAAGTTGTTGTGATGCTAGTTCAACATTAGCAGGTCATTTTAATGTCAGTTCACCCTAGTGGACAAGTTGGTAGTAGTTGATATAGCCTTGTATTATCATTATCATTGTACCTTAGTGTTCATTAAATATAACTTTAATCTTAATTACATTTTTCCACCAGTAATAAAATAAAGATTTCAGCGTCTAAATGTGAGGACTACTTCCTCTGAGGCTGATAGGTCGAGCTCTAACTGTCTAATTAATGAACTTAAACTGGCGTGAGTGCATAAAACCCAGCAGCTGAGGGGAAAATGTGATGAGCAGGATGTGTTTTAAGTGATGAGAGTTTAAGTGTAAGCCTCTCACATCATATTTCATCAAATTCGACCCACTTCAGCTCTCTGAGAGCCAGTCGAACATCGCAGCACTCACCGTCTGACACACTTAACCTCGCACTGACATCGCACCTGCCGTAATGCTGTGGTAAATCCTATTTAGAAGATACACCTGATCTTTTGTCTCCCACGTACATTTCCTCTCACAGGAAAAGCAGACGAGAGTCATCAGGCACTTCCACTTCCACGGCTGGCCTGAGATCGGGATCCCGGCCGAGGGGAAGGGCATGATTGACATCATCGCCGCCGTTCAGAGGCAGCAGCAGCAGTCTGGGAACCATCCAATCGTTGTTCACTGCAGGTACACACTCAATAATAGTAACAATGCTTCCTGTCAATTTTTTATTTTTTTATTTATTTTCAGGTAATATTTAAATGCAACTTCTAAAAATACCTTCGAATCATTTCTCATTTATTCACCTGAATTTAAATGTTCACTTGTCTCATCTGGAGTGAACGCACATTATTTAAAGAAAAAAAACATACACTGAGTATTTGTTTGTTCTGCAGTGCTGGTGCAGGGCGCACAGGTACATTCATTGCACTGAGCAATATCTTAGAGCGGGTCAAGGCCGAAGGCCTGCTGGACGTGTTCCAAACTGTGAAGAGTTTACGCATGCAGAGGCCTCACATGGTTCAGACTGTGGTGAGTATGAGACAGAAAGCAGATCTCACACAGAGAGATCGCTCGGTCAGTGTCACATCCAGAACTGGACTTTGTCTCAGTGTTTGTTGATTGAATGTGGTAGAACCGAGCATGCTGGAACCTGAAGAATAGTAACCTGATGTTTATAAAGCCAGAAGTGGAAAATGTGCTTAATTTGAAAATTAAAAACTCAATCTGTTGAAATAAAAAAATATGCAATGAAATGCAATTAATTATCTGAGTTTATCATCCTACAAAAATGATCATTTATTGTGAGAGCAGAGATGTATCAGCAACTGTATAAATATAAATAAATCCTGTGGAAACAGCCATAATCTTACATGAAAGATATTTATGAAAAGATAAAGTTAGAATTGCAGGAATTGAAATCATGTTGGAAGTTGAGGAAATGCTGGACGTCACCGTTTAGACCTATAACAGTCATTGATGTCTCTGTTGTGTTCTTCCTTTTCAGGAACAGTATGACTTCTGCTACAGGGTGGTACAGGACTTTGTTGACATTTTCTCAGACTATGCCAATTTCAAATGAGGAGATTTGCCTTAAAACATATTTGTAATGTTGTTTTTTTTCTAAAGCTGGTATTGTGTTTTCTTTAACTCTGCCAAATGATCTTCTATTTTGCTATGCACTTGTTCCTCAAATTAACTCTGACTCCTTCGTCATCTCTGTAATATAGTGTATGTCAGTGACTGAGAATTGTACATGAAAAGAGGTTGGATTAATAATGTATAGTTCACATCATGTGTATGATATTCGTCATGAAGTCATGGTCATGGTTTTCTTTTCAGTTTGGTTGTATTATAGTGTACTTTAAGTGTTATTTTAAATTGACTGTGTAAAAGTTTTAAAAGAGAGTTGTAGTTATTGTAAATGTATTTATGTATTGACAGTGTCATTCCAGTCTTTTGTGTTTGGAGAACGGCCTCTGAGTTGTTTTCACCGTGTTTAAAGACACCCGTCTATTTCTAAACGGCATTAAGTGATAGCATAGCTATTTTTATTGCCCCTGCGCTACAGCAGTGATTCCCAACCACTGTGGAAAATGATCCAGTTTCACTTAATTAGTCGGACAAATATTATTTATTTACTGCGAATGAATTGTCTTTGTTTGTCTCTGCGGCAGTGACAGACAGGAAAATGACACACTCTTCCTCTAGATGGCTGCAGATAGCTATAAAAACCTTTAAAAAAAATGAGCGCAACTCAAGAGCCTCGTGAGAGTCTTTCCTCAATTCCTGTGAGCACATCAGCGTTCTGTTTAACTACCCAGGTTTCGAGAGAATTATTATATTTTATTATATTTTCCTCTTGTGATATTTTTGTGCGGAGGTTGGAGTAACCGTTACCGTCGTGATTGTGATACTTCTCTGATGGAAACAATAGGCCATAATTCAGCAAACAAATGTATGCAAAAACAGGCTGAGGTGACAATGTTGGAGTCGGTTTCCATTGCAGACTAAGCTAAATCTGTCATGGGGTCACACAAGTCCATTAACCTGGTTTTTGTACCTGACATTGTGGTGTTCCGCTGCAGTGACAGTACGTAACGTCGACGTAACGTTACAACACTCTGCCTTTTGTCTGTGCAAAAAGTATTTTGCTAAAACGGCACACGCACACCGTAAAGCACATGGAGAAGCCTTTCACCAAGAACATAAAGTGTGGACTGTTTTTATGGTGTCATAGATGAGACAGAAATGTCCCTCCACATGGGGAATCTGAGACACTTTAAATTGACAGGAACTGCAGTATGCCGTCATGGAGCCTAATAACACAGTACAACCTGAACTCACACTGTTTTAAATACTATTGTTAACCCGTGGGCTCAGCAGTGGTTCATGGAACCCAAGATGAAACAGCTTCGTCTGCCTTGCTCCAGAGGAATTACGTCACATCCGTCTGGTACTTGTACGGATGATACACCCAACTTTTTGGACAAAACAACAGAGTTCCGCGTCGTACCTTAGCCAAACGTGTCCTGCTTTTAATACTTCTGAATCAAACCTACATAGAGTGCTAAGCATTTAAAGAACTGTCAAGTGCTCGGGTTCTCTGTGCTCACTGTGTGTGGACGTGTTGACGCTGCAGCACAAGAAGACTGCTTTTACTCTTGTCTTTTTAAAACCACAAAGAAAGTCTGTGCAGATGGACCCTTCTTGCCTTTGCTCTGTCTCTCTCTTTTATCCCTGGGTGTTTCTTCACTTTTTTGAATTTTCTTTGTCTTCAAGGTACACCTGCAGTATTAAATTCCTTAAAAAAAGGTCTTTGGTTCTGTCAAAACTTTATTCTGTTTGTTATTTAAAAAATAATAACTGCAGTTAGAATTAACTGATTTGTCATTTTATCTCCTTTTTCAGGTAAGAATATTACAGTATTTTATAGAGAGTTCAGTGACGTTTTGAAGCCACAGCAGAGAAACAGGTGTGTGACTGTTCTTTTACCTTTTATTAGTAAAATGTTTATTAGTAAATGTTGATAAAAACTGATTGAACTCAAAACTGCTGAAGATGCCTGAGATATATGTTCTATCCTTTATTAATTTTAAGTTAACTTTAAGTTATGACATCTGTAAACATTTGTACAGATGTTTTGTGTGATCAACATTAGGCCATTTAATCTCTGGAATGCAGCCAGTTGAGTAATAGTTTCATTTCATCATTTGCCAGGATACAGCTATCTGCTGCCTGTTGCCTGAGGCACAGTGGAAAATAAATTCAAAACATAGGCAAAAACAAAGTGAGATTTCTGCATCTCAGCATTTTTTATTTTTAGTTCAGTGTATTAAAATAACAGAAATGAATCTGTAACTCGTCCGTTCCACAGCCATTTTTTTATTGCAAAAATAGTAGCTGGACATTTCTAATCCAACGCCCCCTCCTGCCCCATGCTGCTGATGACAAATTATCATCAGTCAGCACTAGTTTTAATTAAAGTACATTATACTTATTTGAATCACCAGTTTAATTAACCAGATACAGTTTTTCATTAATGAAAGTTTTCATTAAGTCATTTCTACCCTGTCACATGGTCCGGTCAGAGGACAACAAAAAGAGTCTGTGGCTCCGGTCAGCCATGTGACCATCACTATAGTCAATAACAGGGAGTAGTATATTTAAAGTGTTTTTGCCAAACAGTCATGTTCTTCATGTTACAGAAAATCTCAAGTAACAAAAATGCTCTTTGTTAACAATTTCCACTTCCTCAGGGATCTGGTCCCATGGCAACAGTTCACAATAGGAGGAAGTGTAGCCTAAAAAAGGTCGGCGTGAGTGCAGAGGTCATATGAATTATGTATTAACCCTAAGTCACTCTCTTATTTTTAAATTGACCACTGCATAATTCTCTGCCGCCAACATTTTCCTTTCAGTACATTATGGAACATGATGAGATTTATTGGCCGAGCTGCCCGGACCCTGACCCCATCCCCAACTACCACTCGCCCTGCATTGTATGTGTCATCGTGTGGCATAGAAAACAATTCCTAATAAGAATGTGAATGTGGAGCATTCTACATGGTAATGTTTTATTTTGTACAAAGTTACAGGTGTTTGACTTCCTGTTTGGTGGGAAGTGGGTACACTTTTTACTTGTTCTGTGTTTGTCAGTTAAGCTTCTAGCTCTGTGAATCACCCCCGTTGAACAGTTTGACTTTTGCTTATAGGCTAATCATTTTTACAAATACCTTTGTCACTCTGATGATGCATAGAGAGAATGCTGATCATGCAGTTTCATGAGAAAAAGATAAAATCTGTGCATCCTCTGGAGGATTTTTTCTGGAGAAATTCTGTTTCACAGCTGAAAACAATTTGCAGTTAATTCTAAACCTCTGCTGTAGATACACTTCATCAGGTCACAGTAACTTGGTAATAATTTTATTTACGAGAGAAACCCTATCAGTGCAGGCCAAGAAGTTGAGTACTATTTCCTCCCCTTTAATCACCTGGCAGCACTTTAAAAAAGTGATGCTGGTCAAAGGAATCTCATGTAGGCTGCTGACACCAGAAGTAAACAATCAGTCAGTAGAAAGTTCCAGAAAGTTTGCCTGTTCTCCCTGTGTGTTTATGATATCCCGATGCTTTGGCGTCCTTTCTTTACATCAATTTGGCTTGCTGCTTCCTTTCGCTACAGCTTAATGGACCCCTTAGGGGACCCACCCCTCAATTTGAGAACCAGTGTCCTACAGCAACAGATCAATGATTTCTTTTTATGGTTAGATCACCAGTCTTTTTCTATTAAGTTTCTATGTTCTCCCCGGTGTGTGTAGGTTTTCTCCTGGTACTTTGGTTTCCTCTCAAGATCATAAAACATGCAGGTGATGAGGTTAATTAAACACTCTAAACTGGCCATCACCATGAGTGTGATTGGGAATTGTCCCTGTGATGTGAACAGTACTCCACCTTTACCCATTTACTTCTAACTTTGGCTCCAGCTCCCCTGACGACCCTGAAGAATTAGGAGGTAGAAGATGAATGAAGACCTAGGCTGTCTGTAGACTGACTGACTGGAGACAACCAGGAAAAAGAAGTGGAGAGATGCATGTGAGTCTGTCTGATGTTTGCTTCTTCACATCTCAGTAAGTGCCTGTGGACTTGATAATGACCTACTGGCCGATGTGTTAACCCGCTCTGTTCCGACCTCTCGTTCACACCACTTTGCTGCTGCGCTGGAAACATTCTGAGCCAACACTTTAAGAATCTTCCTAATTTAATCATACAACTCTTACCGGGATGATAAGCCACAGAAGACAGGCCCGATGCATTACATGTGTAATTCTACTCTTCTTCTTCCATTAGGCTAATACGCTTCTCAGGCTTCTTTTTCGGGGAAACCAGTCCATGCTCTTAAGACAGTCCTTGAACCAAACTGAGTAGATTAAAAATAACACCTAGATTTACATATTCTTAGGTGTGTGTCACTCATGTACAATGTGACATGGGTGTTTACTGTTGTGATGCTCTAGAGACACGCCCTGTAATGCCATGTAATTATATTATGGTCAACAGTCTGTCTATTTATAGACCACCACTGCCAGGCCTCACTTTGAGCTCTTAAACAACAATCAGATTCTAATAGTGTTAAATTAAATCTTTCAAAATGGGCTAAATTGAAATGTAATCACCAAATCTAGATGGAATCTAATCCTCGTCAGTGCATGAAAACAAAAGTTATTGGCACTCCATTCTTCAGTTGTAGCTGATCTCACTTTAGTTAAGCAGTACATTTTCCCACAGGACCGCTTTGAGTTGCCATTTACTGGACGACCTGGGGAGTTGTCTGACCATCTGAAGAGCAACGCAGGGATAAAACCTGCTGCAAAGGTGAGGGGATCTCTGCCTGCCACTACACTTAATTAAGACACAATACAAGTGAACTACACAAATTCCAGTCTGTTTTGTGAAAATTATTTGATAAAGAATAAACAAATACAACCATCACAGTAGACAGACCTACTGGGTGATACGTAAGAACTGTAAAAATCTCTAGAAGTATGATTTTGTTTTGGGTTTCCAGAGAGGAAAACCTTTGTGTGCAGTAGGGTGAACGTTCATTTTATTGTTCATAAGTCAACATTTGACTGCATAAACATCAACATGAAAGTAAAAGTCTCTGCATATAAAGTGTTCATCTGTAAATGTGAAACTAGGTTATGACTATCTACAGCGCCACATGGTGACCTTACTAGAAAGATGGCCAGTTTTTTTTTTTTTTTTTTCCCCTGACAGTAAGAGATAAGCAGCTCAAGTCCTGAACTGAGCTATAACTGAAGGTGTTTTCTTTGCATGTTGTGTGTGCAGGTTTTTCTAGCATCTTCTACGGTCCAAAAACACACAGAATAAGGTGTAATGCAGTCCTTAAATCATCCACAGTTAAACCTGTGAGTGTGATTGGTTGTTGTCTTAACATGTGACCCTGTGATGGACTAGTAAACAGTCCGGGGGTGATCGCTGGATGGGTTCTGTCTCCCTCTGTGGTAGGGAATGAAGACATAAATATTCATACAGATTCTATCTGCTGCAGCTCTGATGTTTGTAGTCTTCCCAGTTGAAAACAAGTCAGTAAATAACACACATCAATGGCTGCTCTCTGACTATGTAGCTCTGTGACGTGTCATGTCATCATTAGTGACAATATATGTGAGTGGAATGATATACAGGGTTTGTTTTTCAGTAGTCAGCACAGTGGAAGAGCTAATGCTGAACGTGAAATATTGTTGTGGGTCCATTTCATTAGACTCTCTGACTAAAAGCCTTCAGTCGGGGGGGGGGGGGGGGGACACCTTTTTTTTTACTGTCTTAGATTTATGACTGTCATGTTTCAATGTTGCTGATTGAGTCGTGTATGTTTCTGGGGAAAACCAGTCTAGGCTTAGAAACCAACATGTTTGTTGTATTGCTGACAATTAGTAAATTAGAAAATGAGGATGAAACGGCACTGTCAAGTTTGTTGTTACGTAAACACATTAACTGTCCGTGTGATGAACGCTTAATTCAAACATCTCGGTTGTCAATTTCTCCACTTTCTTTGTAGCAACTAGAATACGGTTCTAAACCAGCTGTCTCAATCTCAAATGCTGCCTGCCTCATTGCGTTGAAATGGCCACATCAATATTTGATATTCCATAAAAAGATACGAACAGTTCCTACGTGAATTATCATTTATTTTACTATTTTACTTTATGTACTGTAATAAACAGTAGCAGCCCTCTACTTCTAGTCTTTTCCTGGGTTTCTGATTTAAAACAAACTCTCAAAGGGTAATTTGATTTTGTTCTGTAGAAAAGAACTCAGTGAGAATTATCACTTTCATAATATTTGTTTTCCTCCAATGGCTGCAGGGAGACTGGAAATGACTGGAAAACTCCATGACAGATAACACTGCTCTCAGCAGTTATCACAAGTCAAAAAACTAGGAAAAGCCAAGCTCTGGTGACAACACTCGTTCTGACTGCTCTATATCTACAGTATATATACAGTACGTACTGTACAATATGTGCATGCATACTAATCACACCCTTATATTAACTCCCTGCTGATGCAGGCAGATTTTTCATGTACAATGGTACGTAGTACGTAGTACTTCTGGATCTTTACCATGATACTCTGGAGTCTTTTCTCATGTGTATATATTCGCAGCCTTCTTTACTGTTTTCCTGTGATGATAAACATGTACAAGTCATCAGTGAACATGTCATGTCAAGATGTTACTTTTTTTTAAATTAACCACACTAAAGCTCCACGCTTTGGAAGTGTAAACCTCACAT